TCTGTCTTTTTTTCTAGGCGTAGTCCGTCCACTGCGGGAGGTAGCCCTCTAACAACGGCCTCCCATTCGGTTTTATCGGCCTTTTTCTGTGTCCGGGTTGTACCCGTCTGTTCTCTGATGTCATCTTGCCACCTTCTTTCAGTTTTTCTCCTTGGTTCTACAATTTAGTATCATACTAATATGAGTTGTAAAGCAGATCAAATTTAGTTCAAAGACACAAACAAAACTCACTAGTATACACGAGCATACCATCCTTCAGACCATTTTGTTCTACAAACAGACCTCGGATCCTTAAATTGCTCACGCAACGCCACAAAATTAATTGTTACTTCCCTTGCATAGGCTTCGATACTTGAACTTGCAGGCTTTCCCGACACGAAGACCGAAGACTGACGGCCCCGACTGGTCTACCGCACGCGCAAGGAACTATTTTGTCAATTTTGTCCACCAGAAATAAATGATTAGGGGAAAGTGGTCCTATCATTGATAATTATTTTGGCTTCGGGTTAATTTTCACTTGGTTAGAGACGTGGATTGGAAAGAAGACCTTCAATCGAGCGTCAGAGGGTCCCTCGTTTCCACCAGTGCAAATAGTTAATTGAGAGAAAAGGTCTGTGCCGTGTTTTCGTGCGCGCGTGCGTGCGTGCGTGCGTACGTGTGTGTGTGTGTGTGTGTGTGTGTGTGTGCATAAGTGCAAACGGGTGGGCGGGTGGGAATACGTGCAGGAGTGCACACGCAAAGACACGAACACACACATACATACATAGATCCATACATACATACTTTGCCGTGCCCGAAGTTGAAAAATGCCACCCGTAAATCCTATATTTCAGTACTTTCCCTTGTATTTTGCCTCTTTGACTTTGCCAACTCTGTCTTTCCTCGCACAAAAAGACCGTTATCATGTCAGTAAGCTTCTCATTCCTTGTGCTCTCCAACTGTATTAAGTTCTTACTGTGCCTGCCCGGTAGTGTGACTATGGCTGGTGGAAGGAGTCTATGAATAAACTTTGCAGAGACAAAAGATGGACGTTTTGACAAGCCTTTCGTGTCCCACGTCCGTCTGATAGGAAAGACAAAAGTTCAAGCGATTACACAACTTTTCTGTCTTTTTTTCTAGGCGTAGTCCGTCCACTGCGGGAGGTAGCCCTCTAACAACGGCCTCCCATTCGGTTTTATCGGCCTTTTTCTGTGTCCGGGTTGTACCCGTCTGTTCTCTGATGTCATCTTGCCACCTTCTTTCAGTTTTTCTCCTTGGTTCTACAATTTAGTATCATACTAATATGAGTTGTAAAGCAGATCAAATTTAGTTCAAAGACACAAACAAAACTCACTAGTATACACGAGCATACCATCCTTCAGACCATTTTGTTCT